CAAGTAGGCACAACCACGCAAATAGCAAACATGGTGGATAAATCGGTGAGGAATCGTCTTAGTACACTAAGGAGACAAGGAAATACAATTTACAAAGATGCTCTTGTCGAATGGTTTGCAAGTGCAACTCGAACAAGAAGAAGCTAACGACGAACTTTGTTGTAAAATTCAAAAAATCTAAAAACCTTTTAAATTTATAGTTTTCATTGTAAAACAGTTGGTTTTTGAATGAATAATTTAACATTCTTTCAAAAAAACAATGCCAACAACGTTTTACACTGAGCAAAAGCTCTTTTTAACAAGACTGCTTTTACCTTGTGAGGAATGAAACATTCTCTTTCATGGTTACTGACCACCTCTCCTGTGAATCCAATTCAGAGCTGGTCTTAGGTTTCAAACGGGAATGCACAAAAGAGGTCAAGTCAATTTCACAGGAACGAGTACAGAAGTGCCAATAAAATCACAAGGGATTACACGTCCCTTAAAACATCATTTAGACAGATTTAGTGCATTCCCCGATAGCTTGCAGAGTGACGAAAACTTTCAATATGGATGAAAAAGAAAACTTTGACGAGTTTCAGTACAAGAATATATCTATTGAGATTTTTAGCTGAAAGATTAAATCGGGAACTTGGAAAAGAACAACACTGGTGGTTACTAATTCGATGTTAAAAGTGTCTCTCTGAACTCAGATTTCCATAGATCGAATCTCTCTTCTACCGCCACCATTACATGTATACCTCGATTGATCATTCTATGAATAGCATCAATGAAATCCCCATCCGAGGAAATCACTAAGATATTTGGTGTTGTAAACGCTTCCATGTACATTTTCAACATGGCATATTTGTCCGCTACGTTAGTCTTCCTTATGATTTGTACTTGAAAAAAAAAACTTTATCATGAGGAAATCTGTATTTATATTTTCAAAAGATTATGTATTTTGAAAAATAACCCTTGTTTTAAAAAATTAACTTTCTTACAAATTATGATTAACATTATCCAACAAAAAAAAAACTTATAATATCCGAACTAAAAGAAATGATGATTTATTAAAATCTGATTTGAGTTTAATTTTATTTGTATCATAAATAAAGCCTTTGTAAATCACATAAGCTTTAACAAAAATAAAACGTAATCTAATAAAATGTAATCTCTATTCAAAATTTATAAAGTTTTTAGACTATTAAACAAAAACTCCAAAAAGATAAAAAAAATAAAAGGCAAATTGAGAGGGAAAAACATTTTTTACCTCTGGTAGGTTGACTTACAACTACCGGATTCGGATTTGGACAAGCAGACATATCACAAAGCATGGTTTCTTGAGGGATTCGAATGATTTCGAAATCCTGTGATCGCGAGTTTATTTTACCATATCTACGTCCCTCGCCCGGCCCAACTGCTACCACTTTCCGTAAAAAGAGTGAAATCGGATGAGATGGACTGAAATCGGGAGAGAGAGGGAGTGATAAGACTGATACAACCACGTTATATCGTCGCAAAATCGGACAGCCACGAAAAAAAGATTTCTTTTCTGGATTTTGTGTTCGTCGAAGTGGAGAAGAAGAAGACTGTTGCGTTTATATATAAACACTTCTCGACGCGAATTCGACGCTAATTAGCATCAAATTAGCGTCGAATCATTAATTTTTTTTTGTTTTTCCACGTCAAGATTGTGTTGGCGCGTGGTGGCGCTAAACCCAAAATATTTCAGATTAGCGTTGATTCGACGCTAATTCGACGCTAATCTGAAATATTTTGGGTTTAACCTAGAAGTTTTTCGGTTTACCTCAAACTCTTTAACCAAAATATTTCAGATTAGCGTCGAATATTAAAAAATCCGATGCCTCCTCTATTATTTACCCTAAACTCTAAACATTTAAGATTTTGATTAGCGTCGATTTAGCATCGAATCTGTACAATTCAACGCTAAGTCGACGCTAAACCTAAAACATTTAATGTTTGTGGTTTAGGGTAAAGAAACCACGAAGGATACAAAAATAATGTTAACCATGTCAATATTTCTTATAACCGAATGATTATAAAATTTGAAATTTTTTGATCATACATAACTGTACATAAGGTTAATTATAATAAATGTAAATCTATATAGGTTTTTTGAAATCTTTATTCATATATCATTATTAACTATGTTCATACGTAGTTGTTATTTTTATTGTATCTTATCAACAAAGCTGCAATCGGAAAGATAAAACACATCAAAAACATGTATTTATCTCTCAAATGCATTTCATCGAACACTTGGTGAACTAAATTWGYAATTSTTRTTTATTCATGAAAAGGTGAACAAATACGAACCTATATACGTAAATATATACACATGTATATGGAGTCTAAGATTACTCGAAGAAAACAAAAAGAAAAACTATATACAAACACTTGAT